GTTTTGTTCCATTGGCAAAATGTCTCCTTTACCTTCTCAGTCCAAGAACAAATGCTCATATTTTAAGAAAAAATTACTTCATTCCAGTGTAGCAGGGAAGGTTATAGAGCATTGGCGGTAAAAGCGGGTACAAAACAATCACCTGCACTGAAAAAACAATCTAGAAGTAAATAAAAAAAAGAAAATGGAATAAAGTGTATTTACCTTTAATTTGAGTAGATAAATAAGATGATTTGCCAATGGAATTAGTATTTTTACTCTTAAAATAAGATAATTAGATAATATGCACTTGAAATAAGACAATGCAATTGTATTTTCTTATTTTAAATGTAAATTCTCTTGTTCCATTGGCAAAGTGTCTCTTTTATCTCCTCAATTCAAGAACAAATGCACTAATTTTAAGAAGAAATTACTCATCTAGATTTTGTTTTTTTCCAGTGTATTGTTGGCAGTTCATCGGCTGGATCCTGCCTTATTCTCTGGGCACAGAGAACAAGATTTACCTGGTCACTAACCTGTGTTTCCTTTCTTCAGAGTTTCCTGCCTCAGACACTGTAGCCGCTTCTACTCTGATCTGATCTGCCACTTCTAAATAAACACTTTTTGAATAATCCCACTGTCTGACGTGCCTGAATACTGGGTCCTCTGTTCTGAGCTGTGACAATTACGTTTAGAAAATATATACTTTAGGCTGTCTGTTTGGAGTAGAAGAAGAATCTAATATTATCTGACAGACCAATAACCCCCTCCTCATGTACTTTTATGTTTTTTTAGAAATATGTTTGATTGATAACAGTCGTAAAATATCTAAGTGTTATTTACTTATCTTGTTTCCATTTCTATTCATTTAAATAAATGGAAATCTAAAGATTTATTTTACTTCACTCTTTCTAAGAAATTAGAATGTTGTTTTTTGGTGACTAATCTGTTAAAATATCTCTATACAACCATCTGTCTTGATCTGAACTCTTCAGATTGAGGCATAAAAAATATTCAGCTTATTGAAGTGAATAGGCAAAGCAGGACGAGGGACGTCAAGGCTGAGTAATTCACATAATTACACGACACACACAAGAAACTGCAGACTGTGTGAGAGAATTTAACATTACAGTCGAGCAGTCTGCCTTATCAGTCAACCAATAAATCTAATTTGTGAGTTTGGATGAATTCTAGTCCAAAATCAAGCTGCACCAGAAGGAGCCGACGGCTAAAATTTGAGAGCCTTCGCTGCACAATAGCTCACAGGTCCTTACATAATTAAACTTCCACAAATCAGATGAAACTTTTCAGGTTTTGTTAGAAGTTGAAATCAATGAAACAAAAAAAAGATTAAAAAAAATTATCTAATAAAAAAAACAACAATCACCTCAAATACATTTCCGTTTTACTGAAACTGATTATTCAGTAAACTGTGGTTCAAAACTGGTTATTTTATCAGCATTTATAACATAAAATCATTTACATACACATCAAACAAGTACGCTGCTTATTTCATAAGTAAAGTCAAATTAAATTGTGAAACATTTAATGAAAAATGATCCTTTTCCTGATTTTCATCACCTGGTTAGAGAAGAAAACTGCACAGAAAACATGTTTAATCAAGTGGATTATTCATTTATAGTAAAATATTGCTAATTAAAGCTGTGGTTGATGTAACACACAGTAATTTAAAGTAATTTAAAGCTTAAAACTGATCAGAAGTTCTCATAGTGATGCAGGAAGTAGGTCTGATCCCTCTTGTTCATCTTCTGGCACGCTTTCTCCACATTCTTGGTCAGTCCAGGCGGTCCGCAGCTGAATACGCCGATTTTACCAACCTTTAGGAAAACAAAGAGCCGTCAGGCTTGAGTGGATAAATATTGTTCTCTGGGTTGTTCATTTAAACAAAAAATAAAAGGAAATCTGAAATAAAAGCAGGTCTCACCTCGGGGTGAACTTCCTGCAGAGAGCTGAAAAAAGAGACGAAGGGCGGACGGCCAAAGTGAGTGACGGAGCGCAGGCCGGTGAAGAGGCTGCGGTTCCACACCTTCTGAAAATGGCGCTCACAAACATACTGCACAGAGGAAATTCCATCAAAGCTTTGATAAGATGACAAGACTGCAGCTTTAATAAGAAGATTAAATGAAACCTAATGACTTATGATTTATCAGTTCACTGATCGGTAGGTAACTTGGCTTACGATGTCTTCTAGCAGGAGTTTTGGAATCAAACTCACAACTTTCAGACAGAAATTATCTATAAAATACTTGCTTTGCAGAGCTGGAAGCAGCTTAGTGTCTATGGTCGCCGCCAGAGGTGTTAAGGAACAAAATACAAATATTTATTAAATCACTTCAGTAGAAATGTTGGCTACAAATACTTTACTATATTAAGTAATTATTTTAGACAACTTTTTACTTCTATTCCTTTTTTTTTGCAATCATCTCTACTTTCTACTCAATTACTTAGTTTTGTTTCAATAAAGCTCATTTTCATTACAGCTTGTATTTAAAAAAAAAAAAAAAAAAAAAACCATTAAAATACTCTGTTTTATCCAGACAATTAATATGTGGTTTGACACGGTGCTGCCCCAACCTGTTGTTCGCCAAATACCAAAATATATAGTTTTTTTTTAAATGATGCAAAGTTAAATTTGACCCTGTTACTATTAGTTATAAAACTAAGAAAATGAAGTCTGAGGAAGTTATCATCCAGAATTGTAGAAAAATAATGTTCCTTAAAGGTACTCTATGCAACCAGTGTTGATTTTCCAGCGAGGCTCCCCCCAGAGGGCGAAAGTAAAAGT